TTTAGTTTCACACAGTCGAGTGGCGCGAACTTTAATATTTATAGCCTTTACGTTAACTTCTTAGAATTAACATTATTAACCGAATTTAGACTATATTATGTGATCGAATTTGTGTCTTTCGAAGGGGAATTACGATAACTGCCGTGAACGCTGTAAATGATCTTAATTTAAGATTTGCAGCCGTATGCGGTATTTAAGGTCCACAACCGTGCGGTCTTTGAGGTCCGCCGCCATGCGCTGTTTTTAAGGTCCACAACCGTGCGGTCTTTTGAGGTCCACAGCTGTGCGGTCTTTGAGGTTCGCAGCTGTGCGGTCTTTGAGGTCCGCAGCCATGCGCCGTTTTTAAGGTCCACAACCGTGCGGTCTTCGAGGTCCGCAGCCATGCGCGGATTTTAAGGTCAACAACCATGCGGTCTTTGATGTCCGCAGCCATGAGCGGTTTTTGAAGTCCACAACCGTGTGCGGTCTTTGACTTTCGCAGCCATGCGCTGTTTTTAAGGTCCACAACCGTGCGGTCTCTGAGTTCCGCAGTCATGCGCTGTTTTTAAGGTCCACAACCGTGCGGTCTTCGAGGTCCGCAGCCATGCGCTGTTTTTAAGGTCCACAACCGTGTGGTCTTTGAGATCCGCCGCCATGCGCTGTTTTTAAGGTCCACAACCGTGCGGTCTTCGAGGTCCACAACCATGCGCTGTTTTTAAGGTCCACAACCGTGCGGTTTTCGAGGTCCGCAGCTGTGCGTCGTTTTTAAGGTCCACAACCATGCGGTCTTTGAGGTCCCCAGCCATGCGCTGTCTTTAAGGTCCACAACCGTGCGGTCTTTGAGGGCCACAACCGTGCGGTCTTTGAGGTTCGCAGCTGCGCGCGGTCACCTCACCGAAGCGCCGCGCATGCCTGCGTTGCAAGAGGTCATGCTGTCGCGCACGATCCTGGACCCTTGCTGCATTCTTGTCGGTGTTGCAGTGAAATATTATATTATATCTTCAGGAAAATGCTCTACCATAGCATTTCTTCAGAAGAATTGTTCATTTAATTACATTTCAGTAAAATATAAAATGATTTTCAAACATCCGTAATCCGGAACAAGCTTAAGCTTGCGAGTTCTCTAACAAGACGCTTTCATTGTTTGCGTTGTTCAGAAACTCAGTTATTTTATTTATTACATAAAATATTTCAATTGACTAAATGATGATATTTATTAATGAAGTAATTCCCACTATATAAACATTTAAAGCTCCTAATACTCGATTATGTTGCTTTTTCGTAATTTTTCCACTGAGGATACTAGGTAAAAACCAGGTCACCCAAAACATAATTTTGGAAGAAATCCTTCTTTTGTTAATTTTCTCAATACATTGCTGTTATTTTGAAATGTTATAAGATGTCCAGATGGCCGTTACTTACAATTAGTCGGTAACCCTTGATTCCCTTTTAACCTGCGCGAATCTGTCTTTCGCCAGGTCTGCGTGAGTAATGCCCTGTAAAAATCCCTATAAAAACCTACCGGAATGCTCAGCTGATTGGCCAAACGTGGACGACCCATAACGAAGCTGAGGTTAAATGTTATGCCCCTGCTTTGTGCCTAGAATATCCCCGAGCTCCTTCACGGCAGATCAACTGAACGCTTTGAGACATTAATAGGCTGCTACTCCGTTACCTTTCCTTCTGCACTTTTCTGGCCTGTCTAACGGTCCAATAATTAAGAATCCTACGGACGTTAATAATTTGAGGTTTTATTCAACTCATGGGGTCAGGTTTCTTGGCTTCTTAAATGCAGCGGTCAGGTTTAATAGAGCTTAACTACAGGCATATCAACGCGCTGGTAAAACTTATCGTGACCATTTAGCGTTGTTGTTCTTTTTTGCCAACCCAGTGGTTTACTAACCTGAAGTCCAACACCTGTTGTAGCTTAAAATGTTAACTAATTTTTTAGTTGCGACTTTTGTTGGTGTTTCGGTCCTGGAGTTTTCTTTTTCAAATAGAAAATTTTGTGATTTGGACAATGGTGCTATTTGTTTAGCCTGCCCTTTCCTATTTTATTTTTATTTTATTTATTATCATAATAGATGAGTTCGTTCAAGAAATAATTTCCGAAAGCCGAACAAAAAGATGATAAATTTATCAAATTATCCATTTTTTAATCACTAAAAATTTGGTCAGTCTTCCTTTCGCCTAGGTTATCGTGTTATGCATATGCATGGCAAAATTTGTAGAATTTCAACTACTTTCAACAGCAAAGCAAATGCTGCACTAACGAGATCCTTACAAAATCTTTCATGTCCTGAGATACGCCATCACTGCTCTTTCCCAAGTAATTCGAGTCGCCTGGCTTTATTTAATGTATTTTCTTAAACCATCGGCATTTTGAAGGGGCTCTTTGTAATCGAATCCATCTCCTTGTTGCACGTCGACTGCCACCCCAAGTTGAAGCTTCGGATGTTTTGTCGTTGGCCGACGGTTGGCCGTTCTTTGGCCATTCATAAAATGGCTAAACATTTTCGTATAGTACAGTCAAGGCGAGTTCTCTGTGGAACCATAGCAAACAAATCTCTTGATGCTCCTCTTGAGCCGTGGAATTCATTCAAGTCGCCCATAAAAAAGCTTGGTTCCTCTTAAATACACCGACCAACAATTCTTTTTAATCGCCTGGCAGCTAGTGAAGGTCTAGTCATCACAGATGTGGTAATACTGGCTTCATCCATCGCATGTTATTTCATCATTTTGTCGAGCATTTTATTGTTGTTGTTCTCGGTTGTCAACATCCCCAGCATGTCGAGGTTTCTATGTTTCGCTAATAATTTGTCGCTATGCATTTATTCGATTTATTTTTACAGGATCATTGCAAACATTTTGTAAAATTTTATATATCGCTCGTACTCTTTTGGCCATGCCTGCAAATGAGTTAGCGACCTCCCTGCTAGGTTAGGATATTGACATCGTGTGAGGTTCGGCTTATCCCTTGGTGACGACCGTGGCGTTTAACAGCCTCACGATAAGCCGGGATTTGCTCCCTCATTTGCGGTATCTATACCGTCCTTGTGCGCATGTCTCCTGCGTGGCTTATTGGCAACGCTTCTTATTTCAGTTCCCCCTCACAGTCCCGGTGGGACTTGCCCTATAGGCCTCGTGGGGCGCAGCACAGTTTCGGTCTGTTGGACTCGACCATCAGTAACTTATCGATTTTGTTATGTGTTTTGTATAATTAAGTAAGGGTATCGTTGACTCGTTAACTTCAAGTTTGTAACGGTAAGCATATTTATTATTGCTCATTTTTATCGTATCCAATGCCAAATCCTCAATTTAACGTGAATTAATATTCATGAAATTCATCTTTTAATGCATTGTAAAATCCCAAGTATTATTAAAAAGTGCACCTATGCAGATTTTTCTATCTGTCACGTTTACGTTAGTGAGTTAATTTTAATTCATTTTAGTGAGTTTACGGGCCTTGGCTAGTCCTATATTGGACGACTGATCAGCAAATTCTATTAACGTACGAAGAATTTTATCTCGCTCTAGACTTTGCTCAGTCTCTGGTTTATTCTGATCTCTATTACTAGTATTTCTACAGCTTTTTTATCCCTACTACGTCGTTTAGAATTGCTAATTTTTATAGGGATACTGAACATTCCCCATGAACAGCAACGTTGATAAAAGTTTTCCACCTTTAGTCTGCATGTATAGTAAAGGCAATTGGTAGCACGTTTGTCATTCGTTTCAAATTGGCTTTTCAATTTAAATTCATAGATATTTGTGTAATCAGTTCATTCTAGACGTTACAGTGCGCTACATTTTATTCCAACGTGTACCCCACTTTTATCAACATATTCTTTCTTTTAAGTGCCAAATGAAAACAATTACAGAAGTTTGAGGGCTTTTTTTGTTCGATGAAGTTGTGTTTGTTTATTGTACTTTTACCTATTTTACAACACTTCTCTTTAACTTCACTTCTTGTTGTTTGTTTGTTTGTCTGCTACAAATCTCATAATCGATATTTAACAAACTTCTACCTGTCCAATCGATCTGAAATTTTGCACACTTGCATAAAGTCAGTGACAATGCTTGAATCAGTTGACAGAATAAATAATTTTGAAAATTTACAAAATTTTTATACATTAAAAAAATTCGAAAATTAATTTTTTAAATATATGAAAATAAAATTAGAAATTCATTGTACATTTGTAACATCAAAGACACTGTATTCTTTAGAAGTGTTGTCTTTAAAAAATAATTTTTTAAACGCATTTTATTTACTCTATAGATTTTTTTTACATTGAATCGTTGCCAGATAATTTTCTTGCTAATTAACCCTTTTCAGCCCCAATTATTTTTTTTCTTGAAATTTCATTTTTTATCAAATTTTTGGTGTTGCCTCTACCTAATTGATTAGGAAAACGTCTCAGTTTGCTTTTCTCTACAATAGTATTGCTAGAATACGATGTGCCATATATGTACCACTGAGCATATCCAAGTACATTTTTTTTGTTGAAAGAAAAAACAACCGTGTCTGAAATGCACTTATATATTTGTAAATTGACATGTTATATTACAGTTTTAGGATATTGCAAATTTAAAATTGACAATAAAACATAACGTCTTCAATATTTTTTGCAATATTATTCCAAATACTGTAAAATGGCAAAACTAAAACAAATATTTGATCCATCGTGTGAACTACAAATTTTCTAATTAGCGTTACATTGTGTTCAAACACATTATTTCAAGTATCAAATTGTGTTCAAATACATTATACTTTAAGTTGGACTTACATGTAAAAGGTAAAAAGCGAGATATTGATCAGAATGTAATTACTCAGAACATATCATTATTTGGTATGAAATGGAAGATTACATGCCAAGCAGAGGCCTGCATTACAATTGCAACACTGAACGAAAGGTCTTATCTTACATCCTTCTCCAGCACATCTTCTTTTGTTGTCTTGTGTTTCTACAAAATAATGTTTTATTCCATCAAAACGAATATCATCTCGATCGTTTGTCACCCTTTATTGAGTAGGATGGCGGTCTCCCAGCTCCTTTCAAAGCTTATTCTTCTCATAGTCTGAGAGACAGCTTCATTTCTTGTCACAGATGAATTTCTCCAAAAACATCCTCCGAGAAGATAAAGGAACGATACCAGACACTATCAAAATTCCAAGGAACACTTTCATTTCATCTTTGCTTACCAAGAAATCTGTTTCACCTTTGAAAGTTGCATAGACAATTGTCTGATCCACTAGCAAATTCCACACATCATCATCAAAAAGTAGTTCAAAAAGTTCAACTGGAGTAAAATCTCTATATTTTGCATAATTTGCCTCAGGAAATATGCAGTCACCAGGTGTGAGTGAAGTGCCAAGACTACATTTTGGAGTCTTATAGTTATTGATAGGCGAAGAATTATGAGCCTCACTATCATCTTCAGTAGTACTACGTTCGTCGTGGAAGAAAACTTCATCATTGCCACTCAGTTGATCTTCACAATCATCTTCAGTCGTACGTCGTCCGTCATTGAATACACCTTCAGCATTACCAGTCAGTTGTCTGCCAGACAAATTATCTATCAATCCACTATCACTATCCACTTCATCAGCAGAGTCTTCATCAGTCAATAGGCCGGGATCATTAGGCTCAATATAAACGTCTGCATGGCTCTCATCTTCTTCTAATATACCTAATATCTCGTGCATAGTCTGGAATCTGAAATATGAAACATAAAATGGATTTAGAACATGCTAGAATTTTGATATTTGTAAATATGTGTACTCAGAAAAATGTACCTGTATTAGCTCAGCGAACCATATATGGCACAGCAAATATAAAACGATATCCAGAAAAAATAATGCATTAGACAAATGTAAAAGTTAACTGAAGAGGTCAGTTTATTACTTGTTCAACATATGCAGTTACCAAAAGAACCTGGTTCTCAAAGGAATGTACAAAATATACTTACTTTCCCCTGGAAGCCATTATTTTTGGCAGAGCACAGCGACACTTATTTTCAACGTGACAGCAGAGCACAAACTGGCAGGCTTAAGGGGTTGTACTCATATGAACATGTTGTGGCAGGTTTGGTGTGCATTTCCAGTACACTTGTTCAGGCTTGTCTCAACCAAGAGCGATGTATGATGCAATATTACATCATGCTGTTTAATGTACCATATATGTACCACTGAGCTGAAAAGGGTTAAAATGCCATGCAAGGATTGAGGCATAACCTGCATAAAAATGTGTTTAATGAATTAGCTGAATTTGATATGCAATTAATTCTTCGTTAATAAATCAGTGCTCTCCCACGTCTGTTGGGGAGCACATTTTTGGTCTGTACTCTTACATTAAGTACGAAATAAATATGTGTTGTAATAAAAATAATAATTCGAAAACCTTTCAAGGGTTCTATTTCACTATTTAGCTTTTCTTAGTATTTTTTCCTGATTTTATGTATTCATGATTCATTAAAACCTAAGCTTCAGGTAAGCTCTTTCTCGCGCCCGTGGTCCCGGCGCGCCTAATTGCTTCGCTGTCCCTAAGGAGCGCAGCGATATCGTTTTCCGGTCTTATTTTGAATATTGAAAGACGAATGAACTGTTGATGAACATTTATCATTCATTCTCTGCCATTTGGTCTTTTTTGTTGATCTGCTGGAAAGTGCTAGCTATTTCTGCGTGTTTGACTCGTACAGCTTTCGAGTTTTATAAAAAAATCGGACATCGTGTAATTTTTTACATATATTCCTCTCTAGAGCTTCATGTCGGTGGGCAAATATTTTGATACAACCCAGATTCTATATATCTTAACGTTATTAATATTTTATGCTTATTTTTATTTACATTAGTAAATAATTTCTCCGAGTGTTAATTACTAAACATTATTGTCATGTAAAATCGTTTGACCTCTGAAGTTCAAGTCTATAGTGAAAATCATCGCAGCGATTTCACAAAAGAAGTTGCAATCGATATTCTCTCAATGATACAAACCTCAAATTTAGAGCTTTAATTTAAACTGCTGCAGGGATGTCGTGTAAGCCAGACTTATTTTCCCTTCCATTGATTTCTTTTGCATAATAACACATGAATTAGGTTCAATATCTCTCTGAAGACCACGCCCATATAAATTAATGGTGGCAAGTGGATAGATGGCTCAATACTACCAAACATTTGTCGCTCCATGTTTGGCGTCGGGGGCTTGCAAGGCTCGTTATTTTCGGGCATATTTCATAGGCCTGTGCAGGGATCAGCCCTTAAGTCCTTTTGTCGACACCGCGGGACCGTATTTATGAGGATGGTTTCTTTGAATTTGATTGCCGTATTAATAGGCGTTCGCGCTCGCCGTTTTTGTTGTGCTGGGCCATAAGTTGGCAGGGAAAGTAGCGGAAATAATATGATTTTATTGGGGCATTTTATTGCTGTCTGTAGATTATTGGTAAACGATCGATAGACTGGCGCAAACGTCATCAAATATCTTAAAGAGCAGCAGTCCATCATTATATATGTACAGGGTGTTTCAGAATTAAGTAAACCTTTTAATTTATTAATAAATAAAAAACTAAGAACGTTATGAAGTTGAAACTTGTTTTATTTAAAAGAAGAACATTTTCATGGTAATATTGTATCATAGTTACGTCGTTATCCTGTATAGCTTGCTAAATTTGTGTTTAATTATCAAGCCTTAAATTTTCATCATGATTCGCTACAGCAAAGAAGAAAGAACAAAAATTATCGCTACAGTCAATAACGATGTCAATAACAGAAGTTCAACGTGATTACAGGATCCATTTCAAAACAAGGATCCTTCAAACAAAAAACACATTTAAATATCTTTATCGAAAATTTGCGGATATCAAAAATTTGCACTCTCGTCAGAAACACTATAATGAAGGTTATGAAAGCAACGAAGAGAAGAGCCCTATTTTGTCAAAACAATTGTGGTGGGCATTTAAAAGATATTATATTTAAAAACTAGGATACAATATTACCATAAAAATGTTCTTCTTTTAAATAAAACAAGTTTCAACTTCATAACGTTCTTAGTTTTTTATTTATTAACAAATTAAGAGGGTTACTTAATTCTGAAACACCCTGTATATGTCGACTTGATAATTTAATTTTCTAAATAACTATAATCAATTTCACATAAATGCGTTGATGATTCAAGAATATATTTTCCTTGAAAGTAGTATTATTTTTGTGTGCATTTTTTCACGTTTGAATTGTATATTATGCTTCAACATTTTCTAAATAAAAAACTGATCCATAATGAAAAATTATTATTGGTTTCAAATATACAAAATAATTTTACCTTTAAAGTCTTCAAATCAAGAAGCGAAAGTTTTCTATATAATTCGCACTGTTGTGAGCTTCAACTACATTTTATGCTCTTTTAGACGCAGAAACACGTCACGCAGGGCAGTTGACTTCTGTCGACCCTGTGCTATTAATTATGATTATATCCATTATATTATATCCATCAGTTGTTCTCGAGCTACCATTGATAATAGCTTCGTGGTTTCGTCATGGGCATCCTATGTCCTGCAGCTGACATTCACGATTCATGGTAAACAAGAAGGACTTTGAATGTGAATTATAGTTTATCTGATGACGAACGATTTTTCTTAAGTTTTCATGACGATTCTAGAAAGAGTTAGTTGCTCTCAATTGTTTTTAATAACTGAGGGTTCTTCAATCGGCAATGTTACAATATTAAAGGGATTATAATTAGTCTATGGATATTATGAGGTGGCTCTTTTAAAGTAATATTTAGCCAAGATTTTGTGACCTATCTGTAAATTGTTGATTGTTTTTTTCTCAATTATTTCTGCTTTTACCCGAAAACCATAATCAACTTCAAATAAGTAAATCAGCAGTATCAATTCAGCTTTGTTCTCTTTTCTCTGGCCTAATTGTGTCCTTGGAATTCTCAATCTTGATCACTAAACCCCCGAAAAAGCTTGAAATGAAAATTTACAGTTTTTGAAGCTTCGATATTCAGTTGTTCTCGAGTGAAAAGTTGTTGTCCTCGAATTGTTGAAGCTTATAAAATTGTTCAGGACGTGGAAATGATAAATTCCACCCCGCCGTTTTTTCGAGCTCTCACTGTCTCCGTTGATATCCGGAGCCATACTTTCAAAACTCGCTAAGTGAACGTAAGTACTTACGCACTATTTTCTTGTCTATGATTGCTGGATTTTGCTTGAAAGGCCGTCAATGATAGGCTTATCATTTTACGATCTCTTAACTTTTTTTGAAAGTATAGGCCCCGGCTGACAAAGAAGCAATTGCCGAGCATCTGCGTAAGTTCGGATGAAGCGATCGATGTTTGGCCGCCCTCGAGTGGCGACGCTTGACCATGTGACCCGCGCGTCTGCGTACTTGGGGGACCGCTGTTGAAGGCGTAATTGGTTCCGTCGGGCGGGGATTGCCGAAAACGATCCTGATGATTGTTTCCTGTTTTAAATATTCGTTCATTTTGGTTAATATTCCGTGTTTGACAGCGGTTATTATCCTTTGCTCTAAATATATGTTTATTTTGTACGATTGTCCAAGTTTAACAGCGTTAATTATTCTTTGCGTTAAATATTTGTATCTGTTGCACAATTGTCCTTTTTATAGCGGTTATTATTTGTATCAGTTGTCCATGTTCGACATCGGTAATGATAACTTGCTTTAAATAATAATATCTGTTGTACAATAGCTTATATTTGATATCTTTAATAGCTTTGCATTGTTGTATCTGTTGTGCAATTGTCCAAGTTCTACAGCTACCTACTGAAGTTGTTTTTAATTTTGATTTCTTGTGATCTATATATGATTTAAAACGTTTCTGGAATTTCGTATTTAATTAAAAATTTTACTGTTGTTACCCAGAATGGGTAATTTTTTGCTGTTCCCTCGACTATTATGAAGTTAGGCAAAAAAAGATTTTTTTTCTTGCTTGCGACCAACGCCATGCAATCATGTGACGTCTTGAACGTATTTCTCAATCTTTGACGTCTATAACGTCTTTTACGTGTACGATGCTTAAATTATATTATAGATCGGAGTACTGAAAGTTATACATAACCGGAGTGCAAGACAAGACTGGAAAGTTAAATGTAAATAAGACAATTGTAGATAGGATACAACCGAAGCTCGACATGACTGAAGTTGTTCTAAATTTGCTTGAAACCGTGAATGATTTGAAACAAAAGCGGTTCCTCCGAAAATATTATTTCTAGGACATCTTTGCTACCACCACCACAACTGCAAACTGTGAGACGGGCACGTGTATTTACGATACGCCACGGGCATATTTTGCTTTGTAGGCTGTTAAAAGCTCCGTGGGTTTAGCATGGGCGAGAAACGACAGCTGCGTGTTGACAGCCGCTGCCGAGGAAAAGATCTGGTGACACCACAACGCTTCTTCAAGATCTTGACGCCTCCACCCTGCTCCATTGTTCTCTACAACTTCATTCATATCTGAGTCACCGAACAGAGTTCTTTTGTAGCTCCATTTATTTATGACTCTATGAACTCGGTTCTCTTGTGTGTGAATTTCTTTGCGGATTATTTTTGGTGTTTTATTTGTCTACTTATATTTATGCTGCATAGACATGGATTTAATTTGCAGATCCATGTTTTTAATCACAGACTTTACATTGTTTTTTTTCCTTATTTATTTGTGCTGCTTCCCATTTCGTCCTGTAACAAAAATGAATGCGCAAGTCTATATCTCCACCAATAAATTAAATGGAAAGAAAACTCCAGGTATATTCGCCATATCTTCATCGAAACCGTTTCGGAGATCAACTCCATTGTACGTCATTTCAACAATTTAAATAATACAATTTATATCAATTGAGAGAATCTAAATTTGTGCGAAAAATATTGAAACCTGAGTATCGAAGAAAGTGACCAGGGTACATTAAAACCTATCGATTAGAAATTTCAAGTATATAAGAATTGTAAGCGTTAAGCACGTTTTCGATAAGTTTATGTTCAATTTACTTTGCGTTTTCTTTGCTTCTAAATTCTTGGTAAACTTGCGATTTGAGCAGAATAATGCATGACATGCTGTTTTTTCCGAATTCATTACATAGGCCCGATTTTGTGCTGCCGCGACCACCGGTGCACACACAATGTTTAGACTTTTGCCATTTTCCCATAATTTTGTGTCAAGTTAGCCGCTAAACATACTTTATACTTTACCTCCTGCGTTCAAACTTAGGCTATTATTTTTCGACATTTCTCAAATATTTTTTATTTTGTTGAAGGAATCTTACGAGTATATGTTCCAATCCAGCCTTCACCCGCACAGCCTCTATTCCCTCCAATTTGCTTCGTTAATATCAAAAGTCAATGTTATGTGGATATTTTCTCTCTATGACGGGACTAACCCTCTACCGCCTGACATGAGTATATAGCCGGAGCAATATTGTCACAAGTCTACTCAAAAAGGATACGTTGCTTTATAGTGAGCGCAAAATGACTTGTACTGATAGTTGCCGCCACGTACGACAACTTTAAAATGTTCTCTGTTGCGTACAAACGTCCTCAGGTTGCTACACTCAATAGTTTACGTATAATTTAAATAGAAAATTATTTTCCCAAGAGAGTGACATACGGCGGTAGATGGTTAACGCATGGTGTCGGTTAATTTGCTCTACAGCAGCCGCTGATCAATAACTGGCTGTGCCCAACTGATATTTTCATAGTAAATAGAAGCATTGGGTCGAAATACAAGAATCTTTTGTGATGAACCACATGGCTGAACCCTGGGTCGTTCCCTAAACTGATGCATGGAGGGGAAATTCATTTGATGATGGCCGTCCCTGTGATCCATCTGTCCTATGATGACACTCCGGATCATGTGTGATCCATCTGATGAAACTACGGATCATTTGATATGCCTTCGAAGTTTACTCGAAAGTTTCGGTGTTGCGAATTGGAATTAGAAGACTCTTTCGAATTTAGAAATTGGAATATTAGTTGCCTTTTTTCCGTTGTACAATTTTCCATGTTTGACAGCGGTAATTAATCTTTATGTTGAATATCTGCTTCCGTTGTACAAAAATTTGCGTTAGTGTCAAAGTATTTACCGCAGTAGACTTCCGTATTTTTCATATCATTTCCTCTTGCATTGTCTCAATCATTTGTAAATGTATGTTTGATAACTGTTGGATTTTCTTTTGAAAAATGGTCGAAAATTTTTGTTCTTATAGCAAGTGAGTAAAAAAATTTCGAAATATACCTCTTTATTCCGTAACTGCAAGTGGGATGATGAGTCTTATTATTGCAATTATACGTCGTTTTTTGATTGTAAGTAGAATTTTCATTAAAATTGTAACTTCACATGAAAAACGTCTCTATTCTTGATTAATTATTTGTTACTGACATACAGTTAAATGGAGTCAACGAACTTAATCCAGTAACACTTATTCCAAAATCTCCATGTCAATTTGAAAAAGTCTAGTTTTGCTTTTGGTTGAATTTTATTCGCGAACTTTTGTTAACTAACCTACGCAGTGTAAGTAGTATCATTGCTCACCTCCTGTAGCGTTAGTTTCATTTTCCCATCCCGACATTTCTGCCTAAAGCTACAGACAAATTTATTCCTAGTAGATTCCATTGATCTGTCAATGTTTACCTCTTCTAATTTGTTCATGTTTGCTGCATGCTTCTTAATAAATGCTGTGGGAAATATTTGTAACTATACTTTCACTGAACACCTGTAAGCGAGACGCTCAAATGCCTGGACGTCGCTGGAATGCTGGGAGTTGTTTATCCCTGAGCCTCTCCATGTGATCGGTTTGAGATCCTTTGATGTGAGTAATCCATTGCCTTGGGCATTCCCGAAAGGCTTTCATGTCTGCCAAGTAATTCTAAGACTTGTTTTGGCAGGGAAAGTGATCAAATTTATGGTCGCTTGCCATTTTTTTTCAATTGCGACCCTCGAGGTAAACAATTTTTGTTACCAGGATCGAGTTGGGAACCCATGCAGAGAGAGAGCCGCGCGGATCTTGAAATGGAAAACTTATTCCTTTCCCTGCTCAATATTTTGTTTAGGCTGTCGGGCATTTATGGAGAGTAAAATTAGATTGTAAATTGATCGAGATTATACAGAGCTCCATATTTGGCAACATAATGTGTGACATAAATTTTAACCTGATCATATATAATGATCGAAATTATATAGCTCCCTATTTGGCAATCTAACGTATATTATACATTTTAACCAGATTATGTATATAATTGCCATGCTTAAAATGGTAGCCCCATGTGCATCAAATAAAAGAACACTGTTGCCACGATCAATAATTTTTATATAAATTCACATCTTTTATGAAGCCATTGGTTTGTATAATTCAAGAACATCATCCGAAAATACGACCAATGACATTTTAAAGCTCTACGTTTACAACGTTTATAAGGCCTATGAAATTCTTTTTTCGAAGTCTCGCCACAGTAAGTCTGTGCCGGCCTCTCATTACGTCGCTTGAAGAGGTCAGATTTGACGACTCCTCTGCCGCGTTGCCACAAATTACGACGCCTCGTATATACTGATTGCTACTTAGCAGAAAAAATTACAGTGCCCACGAGTACTGTGAATTATGTACGCTTCTGAACCAAATAGAGAATGCTGCTATGCTACGTAGTTTACTTGGCCATGACCATCTATTTAATATTCTAGTATAAAATCGCAGTTTTTAACTTGTCAGCGTATTATTTGGGAAAATACCGGGGTATTTAACCTCGCGGAGGTAGATTGTTTGGTTAGATTTGTTATGTACCGATATTTATGTGAAATCGACTTTGCAAACGATTATCTCTGTCCTTTTTTTGTCAGCCTTCGCTCCTTGCTAGATTACCTAGTAGAAACTTATCAGAGCTTAAACGCTGATGATTTCCATATTGCCGATATAATGCCTTTGCTGACCAGTATACTTTTCATGTGATTTAAAAGATATCTCTAAAGGTATTTTACAAGAAAGTTGTACTCTGAAAAGTATATTATTTGTGCTTATATTTACGTACACTCGTGTCACTAGCAAGCATTTAACGCTCGCCCTGAAAAATATCTTGAACAGTACATCTAAATGAATGTCATCAGCTCGAAAATAAATATTAAAATGAAATAAATAAAGATAAAAAAACTCTTTTTTAATAAATGTAGTCTATTAATAATTTTATTATATATTATATTGTGTTATAATATGCTATATATTAATGAAGTATAATCTTATATTTTTTTGTATTGTATTAAATTGAATTATACTATATTGTATTATATTATATTATATTATATCATATTATATTATATTATATTATATTATATTATATTATACTATGATAGAAGCTTTAGAAGCATGTTTAAATAATCTGTTTGCCCCGACAGCGCCACCTAGACAACGGCTGCTGTGCGCTGGACGAGCCTCGTGTAGGCGCGGAGAGCTCGACGCACGACGCCAGCGTGCGCGCCCTCGCCGGCGCCCTCAAGCTCCACGTGACGCTCTTCAACAAGCGCCTCCTGCTGGCCAAAGAGGCCTTTGAGGACACTGCTCGCTGCTACAATCTCCTTGATAAGGTGGGTCAACCGGCCGAGATAAGGTGGGTCAATCGGCTGAAATAAGGTGGGTTAACCGGCTGAGATGAGGTGGGTTAATCGGTCGAGATAAGGTGGGTCAACCGGCCGAGATAAGGTGGGTTAATCGGTCGAGATAAAGTGGGTCAACCGGCCGAGATAAGGTGGGTTAATCGGTCGAGATAAAGTGGGTCAACCGGCCGAGATAAAGTGGGTCAATCGGCTGAGATGATGTGGGTCAACCAGCCGAGATGGGGTGGGTTAACCGTCCGCGATGAGGTGGGTCAACCGGCCGAGATGGGGTGGGTTAACCGTCCGCGATGAGGTGGGTCAACCGGCCAAAAGAAGTTGCTGATTTATGGGTATCGACAATTTGATGACGTCCGGTCCAATTTCTTGCGCTTCCCGAGCTGGTTTAATTTCGTGACAAAATAGTATGATTTAAAGAGAACCTTTTTGTCCATTTCGGCTTTCGTATGTGTCCATGAACCTTTCAATAATCGTAATCACAGATCTGTCATGCTGCAATTATTCTGTTTTCCTCATCGCCGATGAAAATTTTCTTTTCTAAGCTCAGCATGCGTTTAATGAAACTCCCAGTGCGCCCCATGCCCACTGTGCGCCCCCCACTGTACGCTAAGTTAGTGTCACTATAAGTCGCTTATACATACGCACAGTCGCGTGCTTTGAACCCGAAACTTTGTTACCTCGGTTGTATGTGTACCAGCGTTGTCGCCGAAGATGAGCTAATAAGGCGCTCGTATATCGATGCAATTCTCACACGTTGATGTTTGTCGATGGCGGTCGTTTCAGGTACTGCTGATAGCCGTACATGGAGGCTAGGTCAACTCGTAAGTCTCGCTGGCCATACTATCTTCTCTTGGTGCAATCACTATACGAAAATCTCTACTGCGTAGTGCGTTGACTCGCATTTCCCTTTCGATGCCAGTTTTCTCCGCTTGTTGTAAGAAAAGTTGTTGTTCTAAGCTCAAGCATGGGCCCATTTCACTTATCACTTTGGTCATGACTGCCCTTTACATTGACTGCTGGAGACGTAAAGTTTCAAATCTGACTCAACTTTTTGACAATTCTGTTAATGTGTTAACAAAAATTAAAATTAATTGGAAAAAAATCTTTACTAATTTTCAGTAGATTTTCAGTCTGGGATATACAGTGGGGGGAAATAAATATTCGTACACTTGAAAAATCGTATTTTAATGTATGTAAGTACACAAACTTAACAGGAAAAGTGATTTAAATTATGTATAGAGACGCATAGTATTCAAAAATACTTTCAAAAGAAATTAAATCTCAATGCAACAAAAAACAATGCAACATGTTCACTTTTCTTGCCAAGAAGAATGGTATAAAATACCAGTCAGCATCTGCAAATCATTGGTCGAGATGTATAGAAATAGACTGGTGTCTGTTGAGCTGAATAAAGGGTATTCAACCAAGTATTAAATTAAAATAATGCGGATTTATTGTTTTGTACGAATACTTTTTTCACCCCGAAAAGTGAACATGTTGCATTGTTTTTTGTTGCATTGAGATTTAATTTCTTTTGATAGTATTTTTGAATACTATGCGTCTCTATACATAATTTAAATCACTTTTCCTGTTAAGTTTGTGTACTTACATACATTAAAATACGATTTTTCAAGTGTACGAATATTTATTTCCCCCCACTGTACATAATTATTAATTCAAGCGAAAATATAATTCCTATGAAATATTAAATGGTCAAATGAGTACATGTTTGGTCGAGTTTCATTAATCCATAAATTATTGCCTTCATTCATCTTTCATTTTATTGGCATTTGAACGCGACTCGTGGTAATTTTTTTAGTAATCCAATTCACTGACGCGTGCTTCATGTTCAACCATGCGGCCTTGAAAATTTATCCTTTATGATGAAGTTCAGCTTCTCTGGATGCTCGCACAACCCCTTTACGTATGGGCTGTCCATCTTCACATGTGAAGCATCTCGCGTCGCGCCAGAAAAATTGTACGTCCGAGTACATCTTCAGGAATGATTGTGAGTGGCGTCAAATCCCGCTGTCTGTACTATTCATAGAGTTTGATGGGATATGCACTTTGTGATGAATATGAAGTTGCCTAAATTTAGTAGAATAATTTAGATACAAACTTCATTTATTCATTGTGGTTTGGTTATTAGTTGAATTAGGCTACTTGTTGTCAATAAACATGAAGGGAAATCTTAATAATCATTTAGATTTGGATTAAATGTGTTGTTCTGTCTTGCTAAAATTCTCGATTTTATTTTCATGCTATGCACCATTGACTAGAAATCTGCATATTAATTTTTTGCGACTCAGAAGACGATTTTATATCATATTTAAATTTTCGGTGCTTGATTTCTCTTGAAGAAAAAAAATTTTTTTTGCTGCCTCTTCAAGGTCAGCTCGACAAGCAAAATCCCCTTAATTCCACCAATGCGCGTCAAAAGCGATTTCCAGATCGTATTGCATTACAATATGCCTAGGTATTCATATGTGGGTTATTTACATTTAAACTTATATGGTCAACGGTATTTATTTTTCATTAATGCTTTTCAATTAATGCAGGCTGTTCTTTTATTCGGACGATGCCCAAATTTTTGTGAATAAGTTTGCATAAATTGAATATCAACGTAAAGATAAGAAATGGATGTCAAATTTTAATCTATGTATATCCCATTAATTATCTTAGTCACTTATTTACATAATCTTAGTTACATTTTTTGGTAGGCCTATAAAAAAAATTTGTAGTGATAAACAGTTGCTCCACTTTGTTCAAACCAGACAGGCAAGAGGACACGATTTGGCCATGCATACATAGAATTTTATTCATTACATTCTGTAGCACAATTTTAATGGGGCATTACTCGTCCCAGCTATTCCATTCATTCTAAGCTATTCCATTCCAAGCTATTCCGCCCTTTTCCCTGAAGACCGATAAAGTATTTTTGGTCCCAGAGACTTCCTTGTTATCGCACAAACTTTATTTTTATGGTAGAAAGTTAGGGTACTCGACGCTTTTCTATGCCCCGACTCATGGACCTCTCCAGTCGCACGACAAGCGTCTAATTAGCTTCTACATTCCTGACCCTGCGCCGTGTGGAGTCTACTTCCTTGCCTTTAGAATTCCCAGAAGAAAAATGTAAATTCGTACAGCTAAGTGTAAAAAAATTCTGTCCTTTAGGCGTATTTAGAGGGAAATTTGCGTTGTATTTCATGAGACCTCTGTCGGAGGTTTTTAGGTATGTTGCAGAATCTCTGACGAAGCTGTTCAATATCTCCTCCCAATAGATCGGTATAGTCTATTTTATAAACATTGAATATTTCGTTTTTTACTTGCCAGAGAATCTAGCTTTTAGCAACATTTTCGTTTTAGATTACTTAAACAAACGCTGTGCTATAGCAAAACTAACGCGTTTTCTTGTCATGAAATGAAAACTGCTGATGTGAAACTTTCTTCCGTTATCCCTGTCGTGCCGCAGAGAATCAATAGATGATGTATATCCATGTTTTATAGGCCCTGAGTATGCGGAAGACTTGTATCTCACGTTAGTCGCATCCAAATACGTGAGTGAAGCAGTACGGCGCTATGCGTCGATCTTTTGTTCTTATTGAACTTGAACCGGTCGTGTGAGGTCTCAAATTCGTACGCCGAATAGTCCTCCTTAACCCATTGTTCCTCATACCAACAACAGCCCACGCGTGAATGGCTATTAGTTCTTTACAAAGGCAGGCTCCGAAGCAGAGACGGCAGTAATGCCATGGTGTGCGCAGCGTTATTGTTGCTGCAATATGTTCTAAAGAAACATTCTATTTAACCTGTTATATTGCCCTTGAAAACTCATCGCCTTGAATGCTATTATTCCTATTCATGTGGTGTAGGCGATTTCTTTGGAACGGTCTATGGTGTTATGCCAACTTAAAAAATATTAAAAAAAGTTATACGAGTTATCATATTATAATATAATTTACTATAGTATAATAATGTGTATTATTGATCATGCTTTGCATTACTGATGAAATGAACGACTCAAACATGGCCTGGCTTTTGTTGAATTACCTTCAAAAATACCCAAGTATCTAAAGGTCAATAAAGTTCCTATGTGCGAACCGTGTAACTGGGAAAGAGCACCTCGGAGGTTTTAATGCTAGTGACGAATAGTGATGTTAACTCAAGTTGAGGAGGCTTCAACGTTGGCACTATAGGAAATGTTGTGATGTTTGGCTCTAGTCGCGAAAGTTGCCACGCTTGCTCTAGGAAATGTGGTCGCAGCCCTCCAGGAAGGTTACTGGGTACGATGCCATGAGACTCTTGGTCCGCGCTGCCGAGATTTGGCCGGAGGCGTTATTCTGACATCCACTCGTCGGTCTCGGACGTGTTGCCGTCATGATCTACATCATAATAGCCCATAATGCTGCACGCAAATTAGCAGCAGCCAAGTTTATTACCGTGCACCTAGCATTCCTCTTCTGGGTTCGCGGCAGACAGCGCCATGTTACCTGATTCATGAGCTCCGTTATCTTTTTCGCAATCGCAAGGGACAGAATTTCTATGGTAATCTCGCTACTCGGAAGAAAGTTGTTGCGGACACCGTGGCCGTTAGCACCAGATTATCCGTATACCTCCCGCACGGAGCACCGAAAATATATGACTGAAAATGTAGGATATTTTTTGCTTCATGTGTCCATGGATTTTTCATGGAGCTGCCTCTCTTATTTGCACTGCATTTTCAGAAGTAATATTGAATGGTAAAAAATATACGCGAGATTTCAAGTAGTCGTTATCTTTTTATGAACTCATTAGGTTTTTGTAGATGACCTTATATATGTACGAGATTATAGTTTCACGAAATCTTAATTCGTGCTTCTAAATTAAGCTGCAATTTAAAAGCAATTTTTATCTTAAATATAATTTAAGATAGTTAATATGTTTGATATATTATTCATACGCTAAACATTTTTTATTTTAAATCTCTCAGTCCT